TTTGACAACTTTTGGTCGCCCGAGCAAGTCTTTAACCGCCATTGACGAGCAGGCGACCGTCCATTTCATGCACTGCTGCTCAAAAAGGGAACAATAGGAACCTCCATATAAAATTTGAGAAAGATCCCTCAGGTACATCCTGAGAAATAGCGATAACAAACTTTCACTATCAAAATCAAAGATGGCAGCCTGTCGGCCATGTTGTTTATCTGATCAGTCTCAAAATTTGTACTACACAGCTAAGGACCAAGGGGGACCTACATATCAAATTTGAGAAAGATCCCTTTGTTACTTCCCGAGAATTAGCGATAACAAACTTTCACTATCAAAATCCAAGATGGCTGCCTGTCGGCCATGTTGTTTATTCGATCAGTCTCAAAAAGTTGCCCTGCACAGCTAAGGACCAAGGGGAACCTACATATACCTACATGTATGTAGTTTTGAGAAAGATCCCTTTAGTACTTCTTGAGAAATACCGATAACAAGAACTGTTTAAGGACGGATGACGGACGGACGGACCATGGACTCAGGGTGATTTGAATAGCCCACCATCATCTGATGGTGGGCTAAAATTGAATTAGAAAATGTTCGTGAGACTTGAATTCCTCTGATGCCATCTGAAATTAGTTTCAGTGTTTGATAATTTTCTATAAACAGTTACAACAACTTTGATCTTGACAGTCCAAAATATCTTAAATTAGTTTCAGTGTTTGATACTTTTCTATAAATAGTTAGAATGACATTGATCTTGACAAACTGAAATATGTACGCATTCAATGTATTATCATACTGCAAGTCGATAGAGGAGAAATATAGAGCAAAAGGTTCTATGAATAGCAACATGCAGTGACCTTTGAAACATAAAATCATACTAGTTATTCTCATGCCTGAAATCTATATAAATGCTGATCAAAATCTGGTAAGAAACCTTGGAACCCTAACACACACAGATATCAGAGGTATTCTCATACTTGACCATTATATAAAGTTTGATCAAAATCCATCAGGAAACTAAATTTGTAGACTGATGACACTGAATTGGTTGATGATTTTCTATAATAGCAATCAATGGTATTCTTATACTTGAAATTTGTATGAACTTTTATCAAAGAAATGAGATAGCTAGAGTGAGGACAATGAATCAGTTTATGATTTTCTGTATACAGCAACAGTGACCTTGGCCTTGACCTTGGAACCCTAAAACAAAGAGATGTCAGAGGCATTCTTACACTTGACCTTTGTATAAAGTTTGATCAAAATCTGTCAAGTAATGTAAAAATTCCTAGGGTGTTTACTTTGAAAAGATATGACAGAACAGGAGAGGACAGACATGGGAAACACTATATGACACTAGATTTACCTCCGTCAATGTCAGGTGTTTTATGATGATATCTCATTGGTCAGATAAGCAAGGGAAAAAATTATTCAGGTTTCTCAGGAAATCCGTTGTCTGGTGTGTAAGTATATAGGTCAGGAGATACATTGTCTGATGTGTAGGTATATAGGTCAGGAGATACATTGTCTGGTGTGTAGGTATATATGTCAGGAGATATATTGTCTGATGTGTAGGTATATAGGTCAGGAGACCTATTGTCTGGTGTATAGGTATAAAGGTTAGGAGATCCATTCTCTGGTGTATAGGTATATAGGTCAGGGGATCCATTTTCTGGTGTGTAGGTATATAGGTCAGGAGATCCATTGTCTGGTATGTAGGTATATAGGTCTGGAGATCCATTGTCTGGTGTGTAGGTATATAGGTCAGGTGATATATATTGTCTGGTGTGTAGGTATATAGGTCAGGATATCCATATTCTGGTGTGTAGGTATATAGGTCTGGAGATCCATTGTCTGGGGTGTAGGTTTATAGGTCAGGAGATCCATTGTCTGATGTGTAGGTATATAGGTCAGAATATTCATTGTCTGGCGTGTAGGTATATATAGGTCAGGAGATCCATTGTCTAGTGTGTAGGTATATAGGTCAGGGGATCCATTTTCTGGTGTGTAGGTTTATAGGTCTGGAGATCCATTGTCTGGTGTGTAGGTATATAGGTCAGGAGATATATTGTCTGGTGTGTAGATATATGGGTCAGGAGATGTATTTATATATATTAGGTTAGTAAGTTTCTCTGTTGGTTAGAGATCTTTTAGCTGTTTTCTGTTGAGACTTCTTCTAGCAGTGTCCTTATAAGAGTTCTTTCAGCCATCTTTTGGTAGATCCTGAGTCTTCTGGTTAGAGTTTGTATTGCTGTCTCTCTGGTGGAGTTTATTGTCTCAGACTTATCTTCTTCTTGAAAATGCTTGTTGGTTACAGGTATGTTTCTTAAGCATTACAAGTTGCAATACACATGTTTGGATGGATGTTACTCTGTAAAATTGGAATACGCTCATATGGTTTTTTAGGTCACCTGAGCTTTGCTCAAGTGACCTATTCCTATCACTTTTTCGTCCGTCGTGCGTCTTGCGTAAACTTTATACATTTTCAACATCTTCTCAAGAACCGGTTGATGGAATTTTTTCAAACTTGGTCAGAATCATCCTTGGTAGATGAGGCTATAAAATTTTAAAATTGGTATTCCTACCCTATACCCTGGGGCCAGGGTGGGGCCCCAAAGGGAAAATTAACCAATATTTCAAAAATCTTCTTCTCCAGACTCAGAGGTACTACAGTTATTTTCTGCATGGATGGAAAGATCATCAGGGGCTTTATTTAAATTGTAAATTTCAGGAACCCCGAGCTATTTGTTCTCCCTTGGGGAGGGGGTAAAGTTTACTATAGTTTATATAGGGAAACAACACTTTTGGGTATATTTTGACAATTTTCTGTAGGAAATTATTCTTACTTGGTGAGAATTATCCTTGGAGGAAGATGGTTTTAAAATGTAAAATTGGGATTCCTACCCCAACCCTAGGGGCCAGGGGGGGGCGCAAAGGGAAAATTTACAAATATTTAAAAAAAACTTCTTCTCCAGACTCAGAGGTACTACAGTCAATTTCAGTGCATGGATAGAAAGATCATCAGGAGCTTTATTGAAATTCTCAATTTCAGGACCCCTGAGCCATCCGTTCCCCCTTGGGGAGGGGGTAAAGTTTACTATAGTTTATATAGGGAAATAACACGTTTGGGTATATTTTATCCATTTTCAGCAGAAAATTATTCAAACTTGGTCAGAATCATCTTTGGTGGATTCCTGCCCCATCCCCAGGGGCTAGGGTGGGGCCCCAAAGGGAACGTTTACCAATATTTTAAAATTCTTATCCTTTGATGACATGACAAGTATTGTATTTCACTTAGTTTACATGCTGATTTCCACCTCACATCTAACCAATAAAATAAAGCTACCAGTACCTATGATATGACTCAGGTGACCGCTAAGGCCCTTCGGCCTCTTGTTTGTAATGGCTTTCAGGTTTGAGGTTTGAGATCATGATTTAGATTTGCCTCTTCCCTTAGATCTGTACTGTTGTCATACCCTAATTATTTTGTGTTGGGTCACAATCCCTATTTATCAGGTGTGGTCGCAGATCCTCCTTGTCATACTTGCTTCCTGTAGTGTTGGGTCCAATATCCTTAAAAACATGTCTAGACAAAGGGGTACTTCCTTCTAGTTTTGCAGTCATCCTTCATTCATGTCATGTGGAGTCACATTACATGACCGAGAAACCACACCCTATGGTCTGGGGAGTCAAACTTTCAATTCGTCATGTGGAGTCACATTCCATGACCGAGAGAATCACACCCTATGGTCTGTGGAGTCCAACTTTCAACGCGTTATGGAGTCACATTCAATGACCGACAGAACCACACCCTATTGTCTGTGGATGCCAACTTTCAACTCGTCATGTGGAGTCACATCCCATGACCGAGAGAACCACACCCTATTGTATGTGGAGTCCAACTTTCAACTCGTCATGTGGAGCCACATTCCATGACCGAGAGAACCACACACTATTGTCTGTGGAGTCCAACTTTCAACTCGTTATGGAGTCACATTCCATGACCGAGAGCACCACACCCTATTGTCTGTGGAGGCCAACTTTCAACTCGTTATGGAGTCACATTCACTGACCGAGAGAACCACACCCTATTGTATGTGGAGTCCAACTTTCAACTCGTCATTTGGAGGCACATTCCATGACCGAGAGAACCACCCCCTATGGTCTGTGGAGTCCAACTTTCACCTCGTTATGGAGTCACATTCAATGACCGAGAGAACCACACCCTATTGTCTGTGGAGTCCAACTTTCAACTCGTTATGGAGTCACATTCAATGACCGAGAGAACCACACCCTATTGTCTGTGGAGTCCAACTTTCAACTCGTTATGGAGTCACATTCCATGACCGAGAGAACCACACCCTATGGTCTGTGGAGTCCAACTTTCAACTCGTTATGGAGTCACATTCCATGACCGAGAGAACCACACCCTATTGTCTGTGGAGTCAAACTTTCAACTCGTCATGTGGAGTCACATTCGATGACCGAGAGAACCCCACCCTATGGTCTGTGGAGTCAAACTTTCAACTCGTCATGTGGAGTCACATTCGATGACCGAGAGAACCACACCCTATGGTCTGTGGAGTCAAACTTTCAACTTGTCATGTGGAGTCACATTCCATGACCGAGAGAATCACACCCTATGGTCTGTGGAGTCCAACTTTCAAATCATCATGTGGAGTCACATTCCATGACCGAGAGAACCACACCCTATGGTCTGTGGAGTCAAACTTTTAACTTGTCATGTTGAGTCACATTCCCTTGATGTCATGTGCAATGCTTCATCCCTTTATGTCATTTGGAGTCACATTTTGTTCATTTTGTGTGGAGTCACCTTGTCAATTTCATGTTGATCAAGTTGTAGTTCCCTCACATGAAATTATGGGAGTGTTACTTCACATAACATTATGGGAGTATGACTTCACATGACATTAAGGGGGTATGAAAATATTGTCAATTTCGTTGTTATTCATGCAGAAATTTGAAAAAAAATCAAACACTTTGTGTATCATTATGATATATTTATTTTCTTCCTTTATATTTGCAAAGCAGACTACATGTAACTTTCTCTTAAAATGTCTAAAACAGTCAACAGTACCCAAAAAAAGGACAAAAAGTTTAATAAAACATTGACTGCTTGCTTGCTACATATAGCAAAACAAATATAATTCAATAGAACAAAATTGTATTCTGTCCATCAGAAAAAAAAACTAGAACAGAAATAAAAAAGCAGAAAAAAGTCACAATGTGATGAACGTTGTAAGCTTTTTTCCTACGGGGTAACTTGCGATCAGCACCTTAACTTGAGGTTTAACATAGATACAACAATGTAACAACGCTATGAGATTGCAATTTGTAACGAAAAAAACTCCTATAGACAGTCTAAAAATGATCTAACATGCCACCCTTTGATCCCCAACATCTGTTATAGTTTGGCCCTAGACAATGGAAAGTAGAGTTCATTGTCAAGATGTCAGGGATAAAAGGGGGGAATCTAAATAAGTACCGTACAAGATGGCAGATACTCGGCGGACTTTATTTGTCCCTACAACTAAATATAGGAATTTCCCCAAAAAAGGACTTTGAAATGCTATAATGAATAAATGAAAAAAAGTTAAATTTATATATGTAAAGGAAGTATTTAACATCATTCTAACAGACAATTATACACAGCTACATATAGTACAATTACGCTTTACACGATTCCTGAAGTGTACAGTACCTGATATCCCCTATTCCAGAAGAATGGCATGTTCTGTCTGCATAAACAGACAAATACAATTACATGGGGACTATATATTGTAAGGGTCAAAGGTCAAATTGAGAAACTACAAGTTGATCAAAGGTCAAAGGCTACAGAATGAAAAGGGATAGGTTAGGATTTCACTTCACAAGGTCAAAATCATAATTATACAAGAGAGAGAAAAAAATGGTCGATCTGAGATCCGATTCGGTACTTCATAATAATATTACATCATCACCATTGCGTTACCCTAATTTATCAATATATATACATGTAGGTATACATCTCAATTACTCATCAATCTAATATACAATCATTCTAATAATCAACCAGCCATGCCCAGCGACATTATAACAGGCTAACCGTATACATGATAATGATATTGGAAATAAACAATGATTAATCTGGGCAGTTCATCAATGAATGATTATAAATGGAAGTATAAGATATTAATGTAAGATATGTGGTCTGTCTATCATACAAGTACATACGTACTGATTACTTACATACGACACACATACATGGGGTTGTAGATATGTTCTAAAACAAATACTTATATACACGATCAACATCTAATCTTGCTACGTTAGCTTCACAAATGGCCAACTACAAGCTCATATCGATAATGTCTAAAGATATATTTTTTTTAAAGAAAAAAGTTTTTCATAAATGGGGATTATAAGAGGGGATGGGGTTGGGGAAGAATACACAACATTGCAATATTGCAGGGACTGGGGCTCATCAATATCCTGATGTGGGGATTACAAGGATTAAAGACGTTACAATTTATACATTTAGGGATCAATTATGGATGACATGGAACAAAGAACTGTTACTAGGGTAACAGAAAAAAATGTGGATGACATACAGGGTTATATCTATCAACATATATGACAAACCTTCAACTAGGAATAAAACTTTTTATCACTGGCGCTCTGACTATCAAGATGAATTTAAATTTAATTATAAATGATCACAATGTAGATATAGTAAAACAGGAAAAAATAACAACGATCTTGTTCAATAACAAAGGTATCAACAATAGAAGAAGATCCATATAGAACACTAATAATAACTGGCACCCCTCTGTGTTGACCAATCAGGCCATCCGTAACATACAGATACATCTGTATCAACCAATCAAGTCATACATAATATACAGATAAAACTGCATCAACCAATCTGTTTAAGATATATTTAGTTTGACCAATCCAGTCACAGATAACATACACACAACTCTGTTCTGACCAATTCAATTGTATGTAACATACAGCACCATAACCTACTATAGAGGGGACACAGTGATCATACAAAATGCATCTACTTCAGCATTCAGAGTGCACAAAAAGTTTCAACAATGTATAAAATTTCTATTTTAATGCTTTAAAGTATTTCAGTTTATGAAAGTAATCTGTTTAATTATTTTCTTAAGATAATCTCAACAAAAGAGATACCTGTTTGATGAATGGTGCCTATTGTTTCTAATGGTATAACTATCTGTTTAGGCAACATAATTGATGGTGACAACAGAATTCTCATGTCATGGACACACCACACCGGATACTAGGATACATTAGATCTGGCTACATGTATTCACTCTTGTTGTAGTTATAGATACTTTTTGTACTCTTTGAAATCTGAAACATTATTTTACTACAGACTACAAAGATAGAAAAAAACCATATAGTTAACAAGTGTATAATGACCTCTACAGAGTCGTAAAACTATTTATAGAACCAAGATTCTGAAAAACAGCGGGAAACTGGCAGACCAGAGGGGCGGACCAGCCTATAAGTTGTAAATAAACAAATCTATAGGATTCATCAACAAAATGTCAAAACAATCTAAAAGCATGACATAAAGGATAATGTAGGTTAGATAGTGGAACCTTTTGAAGACTTTATGAACACCCTTAAAAAGACTTAAACATGTTTTCTTAAATGACAATAATTGAACAACTTTTAGTGTGTAAAATGCTTATCGGAGTAAATGGCAATATTGAACCAACTTTCTGTTTCTCTCACAACACCGTAGTATAATCATTGTGTTGTCTCCCTTAGCTGACGGAGATGATAAAATGCTCGGCTATCGGTACTGATGCTGACAAACAGGGAGCCCTGATATTGTACCAGTACAAATATTTATAGCTGCTTTTACATGAAGGTCAACTGATTTTATACATTTCATATACGTGTATTTCTTTTGATAACAACTTCAGCCTCTTGGGTAAATTTCTCAATTTTTATTTTTCTCTAAACTCATGAAATATGGTGTGTGGTTAAGTTCTTCTACACAAAAATCTCTACAATGGTAGCTAACCCGCTACAAGGTTATAATACTCTACTTATTAATCATATAGATATATATATGTATTATAATTTCATTATATTGCCTACTTTCAGTGACGATTATTCACTACTTGTAAATATGTATAAAAATTTTATGAAAATTATTGATTTAATTATAATAATTGAGGCTAATTTTACATATCTCTACTTTAGCATTGTCTTTCTCTACCACAATTTAAATGTATCTAAAAAAAAAATTAAAAATATGATGATAATTATAAACATTATCATATAACATATTAACATAATCTCCATATTTAATATGAGATACTATAGAACATTTAAACATAAGTAGGACCTATAACAGAAATGTCCACGACTGACATCACCTACAACTGTCACGATATGTTCACAACTACATCAAGATTAAAGGTCAATGTTCATAATTCATTCACAGCATTGGAAATATTACAGCACTTTGCTTAAAGCAACTAAAAAAAAAATAGAAGAAAAAAACCGCTAGGGATAGACCAAAAAAGTCTGTGACAGGATGCCCACGTTTATTTAGTCTGTGTTCATCTCCTCCGCTGTATCCTCAACTACACTACTGGAACCTGATATATTTAAACTTGCATCAGCTTTTGGCAAAGGGGAGGATGATAAGTTATTGGAAGAGCTTGGAGACTTTGTACTTAATGGCCTGGTGATGTTTTTCTCGGACGATAAACCACTGTCTACTGGTTTGACCACACTGGCCAACGACGATGATGACGATGAGGATGATTTCTGTGTGAGACGTGCTGTTTTGGCCATGTGTGAGTCAAGTTGACAGTGAGACTTGTACTCCTGTACAGTGGAGAATGTGTCAGTACATAGTCGGCATTCGTACTGAATCTGCTCCAGTTTCAGCATTGGGTTCACATTGTCTGGATATTTGCCGCCCGGGAAGCACATGGTTCTCTGATGCGTGACGCATGCCTCTTTGGCAGGGTACACCATTTGGCATTTCTTACAGATATAGCCCACATCGACAGTGGACTCGCGCGCACAGCTGTAGTCCACACCACGCACCAGAGAGCGCAGACTCGAGATGGACTTGCAGTCCTGTGTATATTGAGCAATCGTTGCCTTGGGTTCCATCAGTTTAACACCAACATCTTTTATGGCTTGATGTGGAATTTGGAGTAAAGGTAGAGGTGTTCCAAATGTGAGGGGATCATACGGTAACAATGGGTCTGCACCTGGAACACACAAGATAGAAATGGTAAGAACGTGTACATTTTATACTTCTGTAAACCATACTTTTTTTCACCACATCAAATTTTTGTCCTCTGCCAATTTAAAACAAATTCTCCCGGTAGCACTGGTACAACTAACTAGACTCATAGAATGTATTTTGTCGTCTCGTTTAAGGGCAACATGCACAATATTATTTGGGAAAATACAATTCTTTCCTTGAAAAATTATTTTAAGATAAAATGATATTGAGTATACTCTTATGAATGAAAATGTTTTATAGAGTATGCTCTGATGAATGAAAATGTTTTATTATCAAACAAACATTAGATCATTTGGTCAGAATGTCGGTAATAAAATCTAAAGCTTGTTTCCATGGTTACGTACCAGGGATAAGTCCAGGCTGTAGGAAGGGAATACCCATGCCTGGGAGGTAACTAGGTAACCCGGGATACATGTATGGCATCATGTTAGGGTCAAACCCCGGCAACATGCCAGCCATCGGGGACATCAGGTGGGCACTCAGGTTGGCTAGGGACATTTGCACGTCCGCAGAGGAGGTTGGCTCCTTCTTAACTGTAATACATAAGGATAGTCATTAATTTAAAGAAAAGATATAAAGATGTATATAAAAAGTAATGTATACTCATATGTGTATCTAGTTCAGTTGAAATAAACTACCAGAAGCAATGTGTAGTAGTAATCTCTAATTTCTCAATACAAACTTAAATTAAAAGGGTATCAAATACATATCTCAATATTACTGAAGGTAAAGTCTCCTCTTTAAGACAATCAGGTGACCTTAACAAGTTGTCTACCATACAGGTGTTACATACCTGGTGTCCTTTTGCCTCCCTCCCTCTTGTCAGCACTCTTTTCAGAAGATTTCTTGGGCTCTGGTTTTTTCACATCCGGCATAAGGTCATTAGGTATATATGACCCACTAAAGCCTGTAAAATATACACAAGTTCATACGTTAAATATGTTCTAAACAATTAACAATTGATATAAGACTTAAGGAAATGGCATTAGCTCATGCCATATGCAATAAAGGAAGGCTTTGTTTAAAGTATTTTCTATTTAAGGTTGTAAGATTTAAGTTAGTTTTCATATGTAGGGAAATCTGCATTAGAATCTCAACCGCATTTCCATTCCATCTGACTTTTATGAAATTTAAAGTGTGTTTCATAAATCTACTATGTATATTAATACTTTTACAAAAACATTGATTGTCACTTAAAATTTGAGAAGTAAAATCACATATTAACAGCTTTAACTTGTAGGGATGTGTGTAAACAGCCTACCTGACATGGATCCGGAGGGTAGTCCCAGTGCGTTGAGTCCCATGGCCTGGAGCTGTGACAGGTGAGGTTGGGAGGCTGCCGCTACTGTAGCTTCATCCCATGCCTTCCTCATCCTCTCCATGTCTCTCTGCTGCCGTATCGGGTCAGAGATGGGCGAATGCGAGGTAATGTCACGTTCACTATCCGACTGGTTCTGAACGAAGCCCTTTACTTTTTCTATGTGCTTCTTGGTAAAGATGTGGTCCTGGATTGTATATTTGTGGGAATATTTAAATTTACACAAAGAACATTCCTCTGGGGGCTTGTGGAAGTCCACATTGCTGTAACTATTACCTATGGTCAACTTATGTTTCTTTTCCTTCGCACGGGCATTCTGGAACCAAACTTGCACCACACGCTTCGGCAGACCTATCTCTCTTCCTAACATCTCACATTCAGCCATTGTTGGAGTCTTGTAGTCAATGAAGATCTGTTTCATGATACGCACTTGCACACTTGTCATCTGGGTGCGATAGCGTTTACCCATGGGTGGGGTCAGGTGAGCGGATCTCTCAAGAGAGGGAGATGTCGATCTGTTCCCTTCCTTGTTACTCATAAAACTATCGTTTAGGGAATGTTTGCTGGTGAACATCTCGTCTGACCTGCGAGATGAACTATATCCCTCTGTACTTCTGTCACTAAGGTCTGTTGAGGCACCGTCAGAAGACTTCTCTGTGTCAGTATTGACCCTTAGAGGCTTGCTGAGGTCAAGTGGTGCCTCATAATCGCTAGTACTGCTGTTTAGTCGGGGGTTGCTACTACTGCTGCTACTAGTCTCGTGCTTGGAAGGTGTGGGCATTGATTCTGTTGGTGTCGTAACAGAAGCCTCTTTCTGACGACCAGTAGTACTCAACTCAGTCATGTATTTCTTGAATGAATCCTCATAGAACTGTTTCATTGAAAGCTGTAGAGGATCGCCAAGAGAAGTCATTCCCATTGGCATGCTGGATGGTGGCATGATGGGAAGGAAGGACTGCATTCTGGGTGGTGACATGAGGCGGTTAAGCTCGACAGAGTTTGCGCTCGGGGACATGAGGCTCGGGGACATGAGGGAGCCAGGGGAGAGTTGAGAACCACCTGGACTCTCGATGGCTGCGTCAGGAATGGCATCAATGTTGATTTCACCCTTTGCCATTTCCTCTGGGTGCTTGGTCGCAAGATGAGACTCCAATGCTGATTTTGCACGGAACAATGCACGACAGAACGGGCAGCGTTTGTGAATCAGCTGCTGGTGAGCACGGTATTGGCCCTTGCGTTCTCTTGCCCGGGTATTCTGAAACCAGACCTGCACAACACGCTTTTTTAGACCAACATCTTTGGAAATGTTTTCAAGCTGTTTGCGACTGGGATTGCAATCCAATTGATATTTCTGGTACAGGTAATCAAGTTGTTCTGGGAGAATTGTGGTGCGTAAACGTTTGTCCCTCGGTTGATCGTACATGTCCTCCTCTCGTTCTTCCTCCAATTTTCTCTTGAGCACGTTTTTTGTTTCTTGCTGCTGGGCAGCAGCCATTGACTGCAGTACACCAAAAGCACTGTTTGACTGAAGGTCGGAGAACAGACTCGGATTCATGGTATGAACATTCTGGTGCTCTTGCCAAAGGTCAAACCTTTCAAATGATAGCAAACATTTCTCACATTTGTACTTAATTCCTTCTGAATCTCTGTCTGCGGAATGTTCTAGGGAGTTGGCAGAGCCAGATTCTGATTGGTTGGCATCGTCTTGTGAAAAGGTGGACCACGAGTCGCCGCTGTCGTCCTCAGTCATACTTATGGATGTCTGTGACTTCTCACTAGGATCTGAGCTACACGACTTTTTCTGGTGGCGAATCAGATCATAGTATCGTTGAAATACAGCCGAGCACTTTTTGCACTGGTAGTTGAGACCAGGAGTTCTGTTGTAGGGTGAAGCTTGATTTTCCTGACTTGTATCAGATGCAGATGGTGGCTGGTTCTCATAGATTTTTCTTGCTTTCTGTCTGGCATTTTGGAACCATACCACAATCACCCTTGGGCTGAGGTTCAGGATGTTTGACAAGTGATCAAGTTCATCATCCTTTGGATAAGCATTCTGTTCAAAATATTCCTGTAACACTTTAACCTGATAGTCGCTGAACCGTGTCCGGTTAGCTCTTTTGGAGTATGATGATGATGATTCAAATCGAGGTCGGATTTCCTCAGTGTTACAAGGAGCAATGGGAGGTAGAATGAATGCGTTTGGAGTTGGTGTTGATGTCATTGATGGCGCTCCAGACATACTTATCATACTCTCACCACTGTCGCTCATCTCTGGAGTCTGAGGCCGCGGAGGCTCTACACTGCGCGGCTCAGTCTTTATCTCTGGGATGCTTGGTAGTGGAAGTGGTAGTGGAAGTGACAGTGGCAGTGGATTAGGAATAATAGGAGTGACATCTAAGGGTGAAAGTTTTGTTTCCATGGGAACTTGCATGTCATCCTCATCTTCTTTCTTTATAACTTCATCATCGAGTAATTTATCTTCCATCATTGGGAGTTTTCCTGTTTTTTCATACTCCTCTAGGTCTAGTGTGGTTGACGGTGGATTGTTAAAGTTGTATGGGGAGTCCTTGTTCCGTTGTCTTTCCTTGAACAGCGTGTTCCTGAACCAATGTTTGATGACCTTTGTAGGAAGTCCGGACTGTTCTGACATCTGCAGTATCTGCTCCTCACTTGGTGAGTTATTGATGTCAAAATGTTTACGGAGAATTTTTAACTGTTCGTCATTTATCCTGGTGCGAGCTCTCTTCTGGTTCTGCATGGCCGCAGCATGTTGAGCAAGCTGCTGCTGTTTTTGTAGTTGTTGCAAATTGTTCTCAGATTGACTCGTTGCCGGGGACATCATTTTCTCTGTTCCAAGTGGGAACATCATTGGCATGAGTGGAGGCTGCATGTTCATTGCCATAGCAAAGGGCATATTCATTGCCATGGCAAATGGCATGTGCATTGGCATGATTGATGAAAGGTCCATGTGTGGGCTCATCTGGGGAGGGGGTGGAGGAGGAGGGGGCATCTCATGACTAGAGTTATTGTCATTTGGTGCCTCATTGCTTTGTGCACCATTTGACATCTCCGACTGGAAAGAAGGAATGGGCACAACGTCTGTCTCCTTAGGTTGCTTCTTTTCCAAATCACATCTGAATTTCTCCCCGAAGTCCTCAATCATGTCAATGGGGACAACTTCCTTATGGACCTCCTCCTGGTGAGCCTTGAGCACCCACACACTAGAGAACTCCTTCAGACACGTGCTGCACACACACTTGTTAAGCTCAGGTAAGTCAGACAGGTAAGAATCAGCAACCTCTTCCTCCTTCTCAGTTTTAACAGTAACCATTTCATCATGGTCCACCTCCATTTCCTTTTCTTTCTTCTCTCCTTCCACTTCCTCCTCATCTATTTTCATTACAGGCTTTGTGCGTTGGTTGAACTCATTGAAGTGCATCACACATTCAAATCCTATGTTTTCCAAAAGGTTCCTCTGGACCTGAGTCTTCAAACGACTGGCAAAGTTACGTGGCCTCATGATGGCTGCCTGGGACTGGGTTGCTATGGCCATGGGACCAGGGTTTGGACCCTGCTGACTGAGGTAGGATTGCATCACCAACTGTTGGTGCTGCTGAGACTGAACACTAAATGGTATGGATGTAATGCTGTCAGAACTTTCCAGATCCTTCTTAATGCTTAGACCCTTTTCTTTCTTGATATTCGATGACAATGGTGAATCTTGGCAGTTGTTGTGATGATTGGATGATGACGATGTTGTGGTTTCGTTTGGCGATGTTTTTGCAGATAAGAAGTGTTGACTAGACACAGATTCTAACAATGAACCGTTCTGTGCTGTTGTCGTGACGACGTGGTGCAGTCCAGGAAGTAAAGACATAGGTGGAAGTCCAGTGGTGATACCAGAAATGCCTGCTGTGATACCTGGGAATATCAGTGGCTGGCTACTACTGGCAGACATGATGGGCTGTTGCTGCAGTATCTCAGCCAGGATCTTCTTTTGATGCTGAGGGGAGATGTTCTTGTCATTGGGCTGTTCAATGAGAGGCTGAGACAAATCCACTTGTCCAGTCAGTACAAGTTCCTGAAGCTTGGATGCCTTGGTCTGATGGGCCACTGACCGGATATGAATGTCTAGTGTTGACCCTTGACTGTACGAGGCTTTACAAATATTACACTTGTATGGCTTGGATTTGTCAGAATCTGCTAACACAGGTGACACTGAGGTTGGGTTGCTAGGCGATGAAGGATCTGATGAGGTGGTTATGGTCTCTGTGGGGGTTGGAGGAGGCTGTGGCGTCTGTGGTTGCTGGGGTGATTGGGATGATGCTGAGGAGGTAGAACCTCCCTGCTGTAACACTTGACGATGCTTGTGAAGATGGGACACAGAGTTGTAGTGTACCAGTAGGATGTTTTTCTGAGTGAACGACTCCTTACACACGTCACATTTGTATGGCCTGTTGGGGTCCAGGTATTTCTCCATGGGGTAACTTAGCTTGTCCCCACGACGATGAAGCAAGGTCTTGTTATGAGCTGTGAGATAGTTTTGTTTAGTAAATGCTAATTTACAACGATGACATTTGTATTTGCGTGAGGGATCCTCATAGCTACCCTCAGCAATGGCCTGGCTGTTGATATAGTCCTCCAGGAATTGCTGTTCTTTGTAGTTCACATCCATACCATCCTCCTTTGTACAACTTTCAGGAGAACTTGCACTATTCTCATCACCGTTGTCCATAGAGAGGTTGATCCCCTCATTGGAACTTGTGTCCATTATTTCTGACTTAACTAAGCCTTTCTCTCCAGTCTCATTGGAATTCACATCAGTCTTTGTACAATCTGTTGCCATATCTGGAGACTCCTCTGAATTAAGAACTCCACTTGTCATGCCCTCAGTGGGAGAGGATGGACAGCCACCACCCAGAACCTTCTCCAGCCTTGAAGTCTGCATTAAGTTGGTCAAAGCTGCTGAACTTTCATTCAGAAGAGCACTGTGTTGCTCCCTTTCAGCCTCTGATAGTTCCGTGTGATCAGTTTCAATGTGTTTCCTTAATGCAGCTATAGAGCAGAACGAATGTGCACAGTAGTTACACCTGGTTGCAGCACGGATGAGGTGATATTGTTGATGAAGCTGGAGCTTATCAGGAGATTTGAAAGCAAGGCTACACTGATTACACCTGAATTTATACAATTGGCTTTCAAGTCCAGTGCCAGGTTGCCTTTTGGCATGGATTTCACGGAAGTGGACCTGTAATGCTGTGGCTGTTTTGAAGTACTGGTTACAACCCTTTTTCCAACACAAGTATCCTGGTCCCCTGGGTGTTTGCTTGAGTTCTAAATGTCCAAGCTCATTTTGGTGAGCATACAGAGCATCAATGTTACAAAAAGTCTTTGAACAGGTTTGACATCGGTATTGATCATCATCATTAATCTTGTCAGCAGCCGCAGAGGTGTCAATAGCTGCAAGACGAAAAGGAAACCAATTAGACTGGTTGTTTCAAATAGTTTCTAGCTTATGTTCATCCAATGATATAACACCACATTCTTTATACAAAAAAGATGCCTTTATGATAAAAATGGAATACAATTTGATTCAATATAAAAGTTGTTTAAATGAAAAGCTGGTCAAAAAACATTTCACATACACAAATAATAAACCAAATTTGATGTAGACAATAGATTCTTTCTGTAAATAAACAATATATATATCTTTATCTTAAGACCATCTTTAGAGGTTTAACTGAAACAAGTTGTCCCCGACGACAGAAGTTGAACCCTTCCCTACTAGTAGGGTGGTTCCAACACTAAGAAATAAACGTACCATCTTCTGCCGCAATCTTGGCAGCTTCAGCCTCCAGAGCTTCCATGTTTATCTCCTCCGACTCATCGACAGGAAGTTGAGGAATGATGGAAGACTGCCCGATGGCATTTGTGGGAGGCATGATCCAATCACCTTTGTCGACCATCAAAAGCAGACGATGAAGTCCCTCTGGTTTGACGTTGTGCATGGACGTGAGATGCTTTTCAAGGCGAGCCTTTTCCTTGAATTCTACCTGACACAGGGGACAGCAAATTTCCTTGGGTTGCTGTGAATGCTGGGATAAAATATGGGCCTGGAGTCGCACCTCGTTCACACTGCTGTAGTCGCAGTAGGGACATACATGGATGTGTTCCTCTCCTCCTTCAGTGTTACTGGACTCTGTCAAAACAATAACTCAAATTGAATGGGGATTGAAATACTACTCCAATAAACCTGAAAGAAAATTATTATTGTACTCTGAGGTACAATTTTGTTTAGACAACTGATTTTGTTATCAAATATTTGAGTTTTTGTTTGATTTTGTTTACATCATTATATTGTCACAGAAAAGTAAAGTTTGATATAAGAGTTACTGCCCTTCGCCCAATACCAAAACTAGCAGTGGAAAGGCTGGTAAGTGTTAAGTGTTTGAAGTATTTAGGGGAGGATGGGAGGTGGGGTTAACTCATTCACCCCTGAAGACACATTTGAGCTCTTCCAATTCAAAGGTTGGCATAGTTCATCATGAAATTTCAGGGGTGAATGAGTTAAGTATAACTAGTATTTGGTAGAGACTTACCTGGCGTACTGGTGGAGTTGACGGTGACAGACTTTGTGGTAGGGTTGTTGTTATTGTACAGACCGGGAGTATCAGCTTTTCTCTCCTGTAGTTCATTGTCGTGGACTACAGCTCTAGTCTCCTCTCCCTCGCCTTCCCCATCTGTAACACAATAAAAAGTCTCGTTAGGAACCCCATCTCGTTAACACCTTTTTAAGTTACCTTAATTAATACTGCTCAATGTGACACTGATCTCTCACCTGTAAATTAACTCAATACTAATTAAAACTAATTACACACCTGCTATGTTAATGACATCGATATTACCTGTAGTACCTGCAGCTACCCTGAATGTACTAATTAACATGCAAAAGTAAAGTACAGATTATAAGCCAGAAAACAACTCATTTAAAAATGTTTGTAACATTTAAAAAACAATTTTAGATATCTAATTAAGATACCGGGTACACATGTTAATTATTTATTCCTAAATCGTTACGTAACTATAACTAACAGAAACAGGAACCAGTTTATTCACCTGACAGTAAACATCTTTTATAACACACCACCTACACGTCACACAGGTACACAAACAACTCACTGATTAAAACAAATCTACAAACAACCAAATCTATTTATCAAACTTTAAATTTACCCTAACTGGTACCCCACTGGTCACAATAATGGGGTGACACTTTCCTACTAGTGGCCCCCTAATTATTGTACCCTGGTAAGATGTTCACACTTAGATGCAAACTGTGTCTACTCAGATCCGGAGTGACAATGGCTGATCAAATTATTTGGGAAAGTATTACCATTTAGCTGTAGGGACAATTATTAACAGGTATTTAAGGAATTCAGAGGAAAACAAAGCCGACCTGAATCGGCTATTCATTTGATACCCTGGATCACAGTAACGTGGGAAGTGGCTGGGTGTCAGCCCTTACCTTGACTCAAACACTCACCTGGTACAGTAATCAGGTGAAATAAGACCGTACTCTCTGTAGCTAAATTATAATCTAGGAAAACCGGCTCATTGTAGCCGAGGAACAATATCCTGGGAGAAACTTGATCATTATTACGCAGGAAGAGACAAATTAAGGATTCACGCTTCATCAAACAACAATTTCCATTTATATGTTTTTATACCAAGTTTTTATAACTTCAGAGATCAGCTCAGGTGAAGAACAATTTTATAATGTCCTATTTATGCAAATAAATTCACCTGTTCACTCTAGTCAGAGCTGATCAACAACAGTCCAAGCAAAATCCCACATTTATTATGTACGCTGATAAAAAGATAAAAATCTTTAAACTAACTTTGGCAGAAAAAGAAATTTAATATAAAAGATATCACCTGTGGGGTGCCCCCTAATCAAGTAAGAAACCATCCCATAATTCTTTGTAATCAAATGAAATTTTCTTCTGTCAGCTTATAATGATATGACAGCCTAGCCCCGGCCCATTTACAAAACAATACAAAAAGAAACCAAACACCCAGTCATTAAAAGGAGCACATTTCAAACCCTGGCTACTTTTTAACAAAAACAAGTCTTTTCAAGGACGGGTCAGCATTTTTCTCCCATTACAAATGGTCTTCATTTAGGGTATACCTAAAGACAAAATCAACTGATACATTCGCCCTCACCCCTCCTCTAGCCTCATTAATCCCTCGGTGAAAGTGTGCGCCATTAAATATGGCTGCAAGGCCCATTCAGTGTGTAGATCTAGGCCTGGTGATTTATGTGTCGGTGAAGTGTTACACCAGCTATCACTGCTTTTAATCTGAATTTCCCTGATAAGACAGAAACAGATTCAAGTTATCAAAAACAAAGTAGTTTACAAAATTCATGAGAAAATGGCTGAACTGTGTGTCTCTGTATACAGAATTATCTGGGAAAAACTTTCAATTTAAATTACATCAGCAGATTAATTGCTGAAATGGAGATTGAGAGTGGTTTGGGAATCCTCACCACGCCAGTATCCTCCAAAGTTAGAGGACTGGAAACTCCTCTGGTGATATTTATCAACAGGCTAGACAACACAGCGAGAAATTCATCTTTTTGATGAATAATGCAGGTTTTTAAATCGAAAGATATATTCTTATGCAACTGTCAAAATTTTGAAATTAACAAATGTTGATTTGAAATAAAACTATAAATATAGAATTGTTCTACCACATTGTGTGATGTATGTGTAAATAAACGCATATAGAAAGTCACTTTTTTTAAAACCATCTTTAATTCACTAACTTATGATTTTTGTTTTTGTTTCGAAATATTTCGATTCATGCAGTGCTGCTAAAATCTATCACTTTTGAAACTCTACACCAGCTGTAATCCAAGAGGGAGGGCTAGTACATAGGGTCCATACACACACAAGCTACAGATGCTTTTTATTCATTCCACCTTCCACCACATCAAAAGATCACATTTAGGAAAATTGCATTCTGGTTTGAAACAAAAGACCAGTAGCATTATCCACCAATCAGAGTGTTTGTCTGATCTGGGGAAAGTTGATACAGTCTGCTTCGCTGACCCCTGTCAGGCTGACAATGCAACAGATGCCAGGATTTTATAACGATTCTCAAGATAATGGCAGTCTTTAATATGAGTATGCAGCATGCAGTAAGCAAATTAATCTTTTTTTGTTTACCCTCGATAGCCTTTGCATGACCCCTCTCTCACAGCAAGTACATTCCTTTACCCCCTCAGGCTCCTGTTCATACATGTACCCCCTGATACTCGGCCAGTGATCCCCCTCCCCATTATCTATATGATATACATTAATACCCTCTAACCTCTCTAACTCATGCATACAACTGTGTGGCCACAAGTGATATCTCCTGTTGATATACCACAAAACTCTGGTCATTGGTAGAATTAACCATTGGTAGGGTTACCCAATAAAAAACCTGCGCCCCTCCCACAAATACACGGTAACCTCCTAGTCATATCCCAGACTTGCAAACCATATATTACCATTCCTGAGTGTAAACCAGCATGATAAGCAAGAATCAAGAATGCCGACTTGTTAAAACTGTGATTGTGAGGAAAAACTGCAAATTCTTCATCATCTGCTCCAGTTAGCTCCCGAGTAAACCCGCCCACAACAATATTTCATAAAATCATGACATATTTTTGATATAGACAGTATATCTATATATAAAAATCCAATCAGAAAAAAAGATATGCTATCACTTTCTGGTATTTTTGTTGCTATGCGTAGGAGGATTAATGAAATTATATGTCATTGTGATCAGTGTAATGACGTGGAAATCTTCTCCCATTCACATACATTTTCTTTAGTATTGATACAATCTCCACCACAAGGTACTGGTCATTTTTTAGCCTCTGCAAACAATGGTGACACCATAGACTTTGATATTCATTATTCTTTTACCTAAGTACAGGTTTACGAATTAAAAAAACAAAACAGACGTGATTTGACCTGTAAAAACCACTTTGAGTCAAAAGCTCCTTACGTCCAAAGTGGTTTTAAATTGAAGACTGAATCAAAGGGAGACTTAAACAGAATCGACACTGGCTATTTGCATAGAAGGTTTACTAATTACCAATTGTGTTGGGCATTGGTAATTGTATAAACACAAACCAGCTTTTGTATTTAAGTGAGCACCCACTAATTAATGGACGAAGGATAAGAGACATGTCTTGACCTTTCGTGAGAGCAGGGAATCTGTGAGCTGTCAGGAACAATCTCCATGTTTTCTACCCAATCATTAGTTCTAGACCAGTAGATGTACTTCAACGTCAGCAAGGCAACCATTCGGATTTTTCTCTATCTTTTTGCTGTCGTTTTTTTAATTCAGTCATTTCATTTCATTGACATAAAAAATTGCGCAGGCTTTACGACCTCCATTGCTGGTTATACTGTGTAATTGTGTCTATTGTCTCAGGCAGTCTGAATAAGACATACATGCCTGCGTCTGTCAAGGCACAGCCTCGTAGCACAGCGCTGGAACTAGCTTTAATTGCATCTATTCTCTCTTTCCATAAAAAAGAAATTACATAGAAAAATCAATAGATCAATTGTGATAATCATCTATCATCTAATGCGAAATTTACATCTGCATTAGAAAGTTAGCTTAGGGGCTATACAGTCAGTTTTGTACCTCAGACCATGTATATTCTAATCATAGGAGAAGCAATTTATAATTTAAACTAATTCCAGTACATGTAATTCCTTGTAGGGAGCCGGAATCTGTAACCTGGCCTCGTGACATATAGATATGTAGCAGTTCAGTAGCTTTACTCCAGAGAATTACCACCATATCTATCATAGCCCAACACTATCTACCAGGCCTATTCACAAGTACCAATACCCATTACGCTCCTAGGGTCGCAGGTCTTAACATATTCACATAATAGTATTTTTCTCTACTTTTTCAGGAATTAATTTTTACTGAAAAAAAATACAAATAAAATTATTGACATAACCCTCTAAAAAATTAATCTTTATACATACTGACATCATGTCCTATAGACCTATCTTATTTGACAATACAAGTATAAGAGATTTATGCATGTATTGTGAAATCCTGGTGCTGTAACATGCACCACAGGGTGCAGAAAATGTACTCTGTAAACTGTACTGAAACATTCGAAACAATTAAGGAAATTCTTTTGTCTTTAACTGCTGTTAATGAGCTCACAAAACAATCACTTCTTCAGCTTTTTTTGGTCATATCATTTGTCCATTTTTTCCTCTGTCCTAATTTGTTGTTTGCCTTCTCTGCTGCTTGTCTGTTGTCTAAATCATGGCCCTGATGAGCTTACAATGGGACATCTGCTTGCTCTGCTGACTACTGCACCAGAAGGTTGATGGCACAGGCAGCAGCGGCAGAAAGGCATCGCTTTTGTTTCACAAAACTAATGGTCTGCTTCATCAATTCCTAGAGATCGGCAATCTACATTAATCTAATTACCCTACTAACAAACAAAATTGCAATTAGGGGCAGACAGTTTACTGACATTGTCTGCACAGTTTTTCATCCAATATAGCAGCGCTGGGTTTCTCTACGGCTTCAACATTGTTTTCTGTCGAGGCACTGCGAAAGATACCACGGCAATGCAGAAAGCTGCACAATAATATCCCAGTAACCGGAGCACTTGATTATTTCTTCTTCAATTTGTTCTGCTCTA